CTAGTAGGAGACAAGTACTGGAAGCATTGAGAAAGAGAGTGGTTAATGAGCATACAGTTGCTGATAAATATGGAAAAATATTTAAAGGAGCTTCATGATACTACTTGTAAGCCTACTTGCTATTAACTCATCATACCACTCTTCTCTCTATCATATTTTATGTTTTATTAGATACACCACCATCTACTGAAGCAGTTTCTATTCTTCAAAGGAATATTCAATCATTGAATGAAGCTCTTGTCTCTCCTGTACAAGTGTCTCAACTGTTATACTGTAAGAGATGTATAAGTGAAGCTGCTCTGGATGAAATGGAGAGGATAGATCAGAGGAGGTCACTGGATGACAAGAAGACCACTCTATTGACAGCCATGAAAGAAGCAGTATCTAGCGACTACAGGAAACTTAAAGATATTGCTAGAGTGCTGTCTGATGTTAAAGAAACAAGAGATATAGGCAATGAAATGATGACCAAATATGGTAGGACATTGAATATTTTTACCACTTTATGAATACTAATATAATTATAGAAGAGACAATTTCTCAAGAGGATGATATTGATAGTACAGTAGTGCAACCACAGGAGGCAGTAGGTGGTAATGAAGGACTTGCTAGTGATATATTGAGGAATAATTACAGTGCTCTCTCTCAGTCAATTACTGAACCAGTTCGTGTGGCAAGGTTGCTTCATGAAGAGGTTATATCTGATGAGGCTCTGTCTTGTGTCATGTCTACCAGAGGTTCTGTGTCTGACAGTAGAGCAGTTCTCCTCAAAGCTGTACGAGATGCTGTTCACTCCAATTACAAACACCTGGAGTTGTTTGTTACTGTATTGAGGAAGTTCTCAGAGACTGCTCATATTGGAGATACTATCTTTGAAGAATACAGTGAGCAATAAAGTACTGAAATAATATCATATACCTTTGTTATTTATTAGGTCAATATTTTCATGACAAAGACAATACTATGGAAGAAATGGAGACTTACCTTACAGAAAGTATTGTGAATCATTTATATTTAATTGTTATTAATGTTGCTATAGGAAAATCATTAAGAGGTGCTTCTTCTGCTGAATCAGGAAGTGAGCATTTATTTTTTATTATTATATATAAATATTAAAAATCTTATTAAATAGGTGAATCATTTGAAGAAGTGAAAGAGATACTTGGCAGACATAAAATCCTTTTTCCTCGTAGTATGGAAGAAAAGTTTCAAGAATTAAGAATAAAATTTGGCTCAACATTTTTTCAAGTTCGGCGCAATTTTGCTAAAGATCAAAATTTAAGCATTGATGAAATGAAGCTATTAGTCATCGATTGTTTTCCTGATCTTAGTTCTCAAGTTTTTAACAAGAAGACGATCAATGGAGTACTGGAGGTGGTGAAGATGAGATGTAATATCATTAACATGCGTCCGTTAGAAGTATTAACTGTAGAATTCAACATAAAAGAAGCTGAAAAAGTCATTAAAATCTACAAAGAATATGCTAGAGATTTCTGCAAATCAACATCTACTGAATTATGCCTTGACAAAGAGCTTCAAGCAGTTCCTACTCCTTCTCGTCTCAAAAAAGAAACTGTTGTATTCATTCTTGAATGGAACCCGAATGAATCAACACTGCAAGATATCAATGATGTACTTGAGAAGCTGGAGCCACTGAAAAACTATTTTATTCAAATTGATACAATTAAAACTGGTCAATCAGTTGTAGTCACCTGCTACTGTCCTG